ATTTCTAATGTGTTAAATATTTTACTTGATTTTGGCAGGACATTATTAATGCTATCTGCAATGATGATGACATCAAAGCTATTTCCTTTGATGGTACAAGCACAGTAAGTTGTATCACAGCTTATGTCTTGCTCTTAATATATCCTGCTAAGATTGTGCTGTGCATCATTGAATGCATCTTGTTGGATATTGTTCTCTCACTTTGACTCAATTAAATATTATCTTACTAGCTTAGTTTTCTCTTCTTTTGGTAATCTTCTCGGGCTTTATGCTTTTAATATTATTTCCCAGAACTTACTACACTTATTGTTCTCATTTTCCTCTTTTAATTTTTGAAGGCTGGTGCTTACATATATGCTAGAGCATCAGCTAAAGTTAAACGTATTCAGGTATGTTTTGGAAAAGACATCAGTTCATATATGACCAAAAATGGGTTCTCTTCTTCTTGCAACATGTGAAGTCCATCTAAATTTGCAATTTGGCTTGTCGGTCATTTTTTTAGTGCAATATATAGGAGCAAAAAACCATGCTGTTGTCATGCCCGATGCAAGCGTGGATGCTACCCTGAATGCTCTGGTTACTGCTGGCTTTGGTGTAGCAGGACAAAAGTGCATGGCCTTTATCACAATCATTTTTGTTGGAGACTTAACTCCATGGTATCATGTTTCTTTGTCACTTGCTTTTATTTATTCCACATTTTAATCTGTTAGTTGTTGGGCTTTGTTCACTGAAGTTACTTGCTGGCCATAGCACAAGTCATTTTATATCAATTTAGAAAATTGCTCTTTTTTAGAAGTCCTTAATTGAAATCATTCAAAAAACATGGCAATAACAAGCACTTTTAAAGTCTTTCATCCCATTTATATCTGCTGTAAGTTCCTTATATGGTTACTCAACTGCTTCCTAGTTGGCAGCGGACCAGTAAACACTGCTTGTTCTTCCCTTATATGGGATGTTTATGATATGCACCAGCTCACCATTGCAGGTCAATCAGTAACTCGTAGTCCTAGCAGGAAATATCTGAATATGTGTGCATAATCTTCTTCTCCCTTATTATTATTATTTTTTATTTTTATTTTTATTTTTTCTGTGGGGAATGGGGGCTAATTATTTTCAAGAATGAATGCCAAGTTCTCTTTATCTATATATATGTCCGTCATTGCTCTCGGTTAAAAGCTTTATGTATTTTTAACTTTTCATTCTTTCATCATTAAGGACTTGTAATGTGGTCGAATTTAATTTTTGATGACATAAAGAAGAAGCTTTTCTCTTCTTTGATAATCTTCCAGAGTTTTCCTTTGTTATTCTATCTTAATTGGTGCATGGACCAAATTTCTTTGAAAACATTTTCAATTGAAGAATGCAGAATTGCTTATATATTTTAATTCTATCCTCATTTATAATAATCTCTAATCTCAAAGGACTATGTCCTTCACATTTTCTGGCTCCATATTTTTCTGGTAAAAATTGCTTGCACTAGATGATGACATGGGAATGATGTTTAACTTTATAAACAATAAAACCACATTTGAATTATCCTGAACCCCAGAAGATTAGATTTTCTGAACTTAATTGGAGTCTGACATTCAAGTTCCCTATTTTAAAAAGCTGCATTTGCTTAATTGGCTCCAAAGGGGTTTAAACCACTTTCATGCTAATGAGGTTTGCCAGGACGTGTGGGGCAGGAGATTTGCAATGGCAAGACTTCAGATATAGTTATGATTAAAAAAAAAAAAATAGAGAGAAAGACTTAAGGATACAGGAATATTGATATTTCTTTATTTGTAGAACCATCTATCCTTCTGTTTGTCCTCTTCTTCCCATTGCATGTTTGATTGGAGAAATAATTGTTTACTCAGTCATTGACATAGAGATTGATCTGTTTGAAGAGTTACCTGTATTAATTTATGCTAGGGAAGACAAACTGGTGGAGCGTGTGAAAGCACTTAAAGTAAATGCTGGAACAGAACCTGATACAGACCTTGGTCCTCTGATTAGCAAGCAGGTAAATTTCTTTACCAAATTAATCCTCTGCATATTTCGAATTGAGCTGGTGAATGGGAAGTGAGGTTTTTCTTTGACATGTGTTGTTTGAGAGAAATAACTATGCATTTTTACTTCGGGATTTCTGTACAATAGCTTGTTAAGCACTATTTGCATTTGTACATGCTACTCAATTATGAATTTATCTCTGATACTCTTCTGCTTGACAGGCAAAGGAGCACACATGCAGATTGATTCAATCAAGTATTGAGAGGTGCAAAATTACTGCTTGATGGGAGAAACTTTATGGTATGAATCACTTTCATGTCTGTAATTTTGATTTTTGTCTGCATGACTTATTGAGGTGATGCACTGTGATTGTTAGTTTTATGGTCTGCTTAAAAATCTTTTTTGTTTAAATAATGCAAATAGTTAATTATAATATTTTATTGTACCATAAGATGCTTATTTCTATGTAATAGTGATTAGTGAAGACACTGAGTTTGTAGAAGTTTGATCTCAACATGAAAGTTTAACCTTTTGGTTTCTTGAATGCCTCTGAGTGGTATAGGTTGTTCCCATTTAATAGTTTCAAATTTTTGAAGAATATCATGAACAATGTACACCTCTGACTAGCAACCTGTGAATCAATAGGTTGAAGGATATGAACAAGGGAACTTCATTGGCCCCACGATCTTATCTGATGTCAGGACCAACATGGATTGTTACAAGGTATATAATGTCATGTTCACAACAAACTTTGATTTTGGAAGAAGTAATTATAATTAGTCTCTCTAAATCTCTGGTGAAAGTAACAAGTTGAGTTTCTTAGGACCTTCAAGGGTTGTACAAACATTCTGATGTACAAACAATACCTTGAAGAGTTCAAAAGCACTTTTCTTTCACATGAATACAAACTAAAATAAACCTTTTAACATGTAAATCTGCCCCACAGACCGGTTGGCTAAACAGCCAAACAAATTCTGCCCAGTTCAAAAACCCCAAGATGGTACCAGGGTCCTGAGAGAAATTCCAAGGAACACAGATTAGGAAACACCCACTTGGGGTGAAGGTGAACATGATT